AGCAAGAGGCCACTCGTACTGGGGAGAAGCCACACACGATCACCCAGTGCAGGGCAACTTTACAAAGCAGAAAAAGTCATGACACCTGGGGAGAAGGCAAGAATGCGTTTGGTCCCACACATTCGCACGTTCAGGACCAGGGTGTCCACCTTGGAAGATGGTCCTTTGTGTGCAATAAATGTGGGAAAACATTCAGGTATAAATCTTTATTTGCTATACACCAGACGTTCCATACTGGAGAAAGAGGTTATAAGTTTAGCAAATACGGAAAATTCCTTAGGCATTGGTCAGCTTGCAGTCAACATGAAAAGACTCATACTCTGCTCAGGCAGTATATGTGCAGCAAATGTGGGAAATCCTTAAGCCAGAAATCTGGCCTCATTCATCCCCAGAGATGGCACAATGGAGAAAAGAGTTACGTTTGCAGTGGATGTGCAAAATCTTTTATCCACAGATCAGTGTTGATTACTCATAGGGTTCACCCTGGAGAAGGGTTTTATAAGTGTCGTGGCTGTGCAAAATCTTTTTCTACTATGTCTGCCCTTGGTTATCATCAGAGATCTCACACTAGGGAAAGACCTTATGAGTGCAGTGAATGTGGGAAATCTTTTACCACTTGTTCTAACCTCCATTGTCACCAGAGAGTTCACACTGGAGAAAGGCCCTATGAGTGCAGTGAATGTGGCAAGTCCTTTGTCCGAAGAAATGTCCTCAAACTACACATAAAGATTCACTCAGGTGAAAGGCCTTACAAGTGTAACGAATGTGGGAAATCTTTTAAGTGGAAGTCAGCATTGATTAAACACCAGAGAATTCACACAGGAGAAAGGCCTTATGAGTGCAGTGAATGTAGGAAATCTTTTAGCACTAAGTCTGTCCTCCATGATCACCAAAGAGTTCACACTGGAGAAAGGCCTTATGAGTGCAATGACTGTGAGAAATCTTTTACCACCAAATCGGCCCTCCATTATCACCAAAGAGTTCACACCAGAGAGCAGCCTTATGTGTGCAGTGAATGTGGCAAGTCGTTTGTCCAAAGAAGTAGCCTCAGTATACACATAAAGGTTCATTCAGGTGAAAAGCCTTATAAGTGTAATGAATGTGGGAAATATTTGAAGTGTAAGTCAACACTGATTAAACACCAGAGAATTCACACAGGAGAAAGGCCTTATGAGTGCAGTGAATGTGGGAAATCCTTTGCCACTAGTTCTGTCCTTCATTCTCACCAGAGAGTTCACACTGGAGAAAGGCCTTATGAATGCAGTGAATGTGGGAAATCTTTTACTGGTATTTCAGGACTCCACTATCACCAGAGAGTCCACACTGGAGAGAAACCTTATGAATGCAGTGAATGTGGCAAGTCCTTTGTCCAAAGAAGTAGCCTCAATG